CTCAGTTTCCCCCCTGGAGCCTGGGATAAGGCAGAGCACAGGCACTGAGAGCTGCTGCTTCCTTGGGTCCTCTGTCCCTCCAGACGTCACCTCCCCACCTGTCCTAGTGCCCCGGGATGCAGACCCAGGCGTGGGACACACACGGTGAGCTCACCCTTGAGCTTCTCCCCAAACATGGTGAGGAACACAGTGAAGTTGATGGGCCCCGGGGCCTCCTTGAGCATCTCGTCAATCTCCTCATTCTTCACATTCACTCGTCCTAGGGAAGGAGACGTGGGGACTCAGCCCTGGGGGGGTGGGGGTGGGACACTGGCATTTGCACTACCGTTGCAAAGAATCTAGCACAGAAATAGTGAAGAGGTGTTCTGCACAGTGTCGTTTGTAACTAGGGACAACCCAACACCTGGTGTGGGAGGGGCAGTTATTGTCAGTGTGTCACACCTGAAACCTTTTGCACAGGTGCTCACACTCCACCTGCTGACCCACAGCGGTGAGGGGTGTGACACACCTGCTCTTCAGCCATGAGCCCTGACACCACTTCTGTGAGAATTAGAAAAAGCTGCCCCCTTTAAGACCATTCTTATTTATAAAAGGATGTAAATTGAATAGTGCCCTGTAGAATTGTGCAGTGCACAACCTGCACAGCTGTTCAAGGTGGCCCTGAGGTCTGAGGATAGGAATTGGTGGTACTGGGTGGTGGCAGGTTAGATGTGTATATTTTGAAAGAGCTCCGTGCACTGCTCTCACGCTGTGAAGATATTAAATAAAGCTAAGTCCAGAACAGAATGAGGCCAATTATTTGGGGAAAAAAACAACAACAACAAACCCAAACAGACGTGTAGAAAGACTTCGAGGAAAGAGACTGAAAAGTTGACAGTGGAGCACGGCCCTTTGGACAGTGCTCTTTTCTGCTTCACATTTTTCTGAATGTTCTAAGTTTTCTGTAGTGAGCTGATATTGCGTTAAAAACATCACACACATCTGGGCGCCAGTGGCTCATGCCTGCAATCCTAGCTGCTTGGGAGGCTGAGATCAGGAGGATTGCAAATAGTTCAAGAGATCCCATCTCCACAATAACCAGAGCAAAATGGATTGGATTTTTAAACCCTGGATGTGCCCCGTCCCCCAAATCACACAAAAAGTCATTTCAATAGAAAAAATTAGAGAGCATTTCCATTCTTTGAAGTTTGTTGTTTCCCCTGCAGCACTGGGGCTTGAACTCAGGGCTTTGCGATTGCCAGGCAGGCGCTCTACTGCTTGAGCCACCACGCCCCAGTCCAGAAGTTTGTCTTAATGGCTGTCCAGGCTGAGCCTCTGTTTGGATAATGAGGAGAGAGGGAAGGGAGAGCTTTGGCAGTGGGGTGGGAACAACGTACCCAGGGCGGCGAAAGTGTCTCTCAGGTCGTTCTTGTCGATGAAGCCGTCCCGGTTCTGGTCCATGATGGTGAAGGCCTGTTGGGGGGTGGGGGGTGGGGTCACTGGTCAGCCCTGGGAGACAGAACGATCCAAGGATGGTGGCTGGGGACCGGGGGAGGGACATTCTGGAATGCGCGACGTTAGATCCAGTTAAAGGTTAGAAACAGGGTTGGGCGTGGTGGTGCATCCTGTAACCCCAGCTGCCCGGGAGGTGGAGGTGGGAGGATTGAGGTCTGATGCCAGGGCAGGCACCAGCTTGAGACCTTATCTGAAAGATAAACTAAAGGCAAACGGGCTGGCAGAGTGGCTCAAGTGGTAGAGCCCCTGCCTAGCAATTGTGAGGCCCTGAGTTCAAATCCCCAGTACTGCAAAAAAAAAGGACAGACCCAAGAGCACTGAAAATGTGTCCACTCAAAACCCTGTCCACAAATGTCCACAGCCACGTGACAGATCATGAGGGCCCCACGCTGGGAATACCATGAATACCACGTCCTTCGCACGATGAACAGACAAACGTGGTCCATCCACAACGTGGACTATGACTCAGCCATGAAAAGGAATGCCATTCTGACACATGCTAAGACCTGGATGACCCTTAAGGATGCTGAGTGGGAGAAACCAGACACAAAAGACACAAAAGGCCACATAGCCACGGTTCCGTTTCTTTGAAACAGGCCGGCAAATCCCTACAAACAAAAGTGGATGAGCTGTTGCCCAGGCTGAGGGAGGACGACAGAAAGTCGCCGGCCATGTGTACTGTGTTTCCTTTGGGGTGATGGAAATGTCTCGCAAGCAGTGGTGACAGTTGCAAGCCTGTGACTATACAAATGACCCCTGCACTGTGCACTTAAAACAACTTTTGAATCACATCCCTAAAGTTAGAAGTGAGGTGGTCTCCAGCTTCCCACCCCAGGCCTGGATGTGACATTTCATGCCAGGAATTCCTCTTTTCCTGGCAGCCTATGAGACGTGAGGGGGGACAAAGGGGCGGATGTCCCCCCTGTGCAGAGGCCCAGGCTCCACTCCAGCATGGCTGCCACAATTTTCCTCCAGGGGCCATGGAGGGAGCAGCCAGAAGACAAGTCCCCAGCCTGTCCTGCCAAGCCGGGCACAGTGGCTTCATAGGCCCCTGGTATTTCACCGAGCCTGTGTCCAGGCGACAAGACGCTGCTTTTCCTCTCAGATGGGCAAGAAATAGCCACACTACTACCTAGTCAGAGTTGGGGAAACGTGGGGACAGGCAAGGCAATAGGAAGTCATACAGTGGGCAGGGTGGGGGGACACTGCAGCAACAGCTCTGCTTGGCTTTCCTCCCTCCTCCCTCTTTCCCTTCTTCCCGCCCCTCCCCTCCCCTCCCCTCTGCTGTAGTTCTGCTTTTAGGATTGAACCAGAGACAGGAGCAAAGGCCCAGCTGTGCATAAAAGTAGACCTCTCTAAGCAAATGTGTCCTGGCCACAGAAGTCGTTTAAACAGATGACAGAAAGTGTGACATGTGTGGTGACTGTAATGCATCCACCACCGGTCCCAATTGTGACAGGTGACATGGTGCAAACTCCACGGGCACTGGTTATTTTCGGGTGGTAGGATCTTAGGGACACAGTGTGGGTTTCTTCTTTCTGCTTTCCTGGAATTTTCCCCCTACATTTTCAACAAGGAATATGTTGTATAGTCGGATAAGCAGCAGAAGTGTTTAGCAGCCATGTCTACGAAAAGTCACACATTCACTCTGAGCTTGGGCGTGGTTGGAGGACAAGCTGGTCCCTGCAGGGTGGGGACAAATGCAGGTCAGTTTGTGTCTGGGGGAAGGCACACCTACCTCCTTGAACTCCTGGATCTGCGTCTGCTCGAACATGGAGAACACATTGGAGTTGGCCCCATCCGCCCTCTTCTTGGCTTTCTTGGGTGACTGGGGAAGAAGCAGTGGTTAGAAGCTGCGAGTGAGAACAGGACAGGTCCCTGGAGCCCCTGTCGCCGGGCTCAGCTGCTCATCTGTGAAATGGGGCCAGGGAACCCACACCAGCAGAGCTGGGTGCAGCAGAACAAGGGGTGGTGGGGGACAGAGAGAAAGAGAGAGAGACAGAGCGAGAGAGAATAGGAACAAAAGACTGAGGCTCACGGAGCCTGGTAAGCCTCAAGGTGAAATGACAGTGTGGCAGGGTGCTGCCAGCTGTCTGTCCCAACCCCACAACCTTCCCTTCAGGAAACAGGGAGGTCTCCAATGGCCTGCCCCTTCCCCCAGATCAACAGTGCAATGTCACCCTTCTTGGGTCCTGCTGCTCTCTGGCTTTAAACACAGCAGGAGCTTAAACACTGCCTCAGGCTATCTCCTTTCAAGAAGATGCTGTGATTACCGCCCTCATTTTACAGGTGAGGCCACTGAGGCTCAGAGAGTTTAGGACACTTGCTCCAGGTCACACAGCCACAGAAAGGCAGAACCCAGGTTAAACAGTCTGGTTGAGCAGTGTGACTCCAGCGCCTGGCCTTTGACCCACAGGGACCCTGAGTTGGGGGCTCGTGTGTGTGGGGGCCACCTCCCCACACAACACAAGAGGAGAGGTTTTACATTCTCAAGTTCAAAAACAAAAAAAGATTTTTCTCCCCAGCCACCTGAACGAGAGAGGAAGAATTTCAGTTTGACTTGTAGGAGCGCTTAACCCATTCCCCAGCCCTGGGGTTGTTGGTAGCTCAGAGGTCAGAAGACAGTCATAAAAGCCAGCTCTCCTTCTGGTTTCGAGTCCCCCAGAACCACTGGATTTGTGGCCCATGGGGACATTGATTTGAGCCTCTCTGTGCACGCCCCGCGCGCGGCACTTTTCCACCCACGGCTGGAATCCTCAGAAGCCGCCTCTCTCCCCTCCACTTTGGTCCTTGGCAGGTGGGTGGTGTTCCCTTCTCATCCTCCCAGCATTGTCCCCTGAGGATCCAAGGCCACTCACCATGGTGGACAGGACAGGACGCTGCCTCTGGGGAAGAATTCCACACGCCTGGCTCGCCTCTGCCTGGGAACAATAAATACCTCCTTCCCGGGTTTAAAAATAACCCCATGACCACTTTTGGCAGTCCTAGGTGAGGCGACTCCACCTAAGCCCCCCCACCCCATGCCGTTCTTCTGAAGTAAGGACAGCTTGCTGGCCACCGGGTGACATATGAGACCAAAAAATGTATTCAAGGTTAAAGAGACGGCAGCCGGATCACGGGCCTGGGGAGAGATGCTGTGTGCTCTCTGCGGCTTGGGTGGGCGACACTTGTGCCTGTCAGTTTGGGGGAGGAAGGGAGCAGGAAGGGAGGTGAAAATGTTCTGTAGTGCTAGCCGGCCCTGGCCCACCTCGGGACCTTTGCACCTGCCGTCTCCTCCCCGGCACACCTTTCCTCTAGTCACCTGCCAGCTCCACTGCTGGCCTCAGTCCCTTCTTTGCTCAAATGTCCCCCACCCTTGCCTGCCCCACTCCCCCATCTCCCTTTTCTGCGTGGGTTTCTCCCAAGTGTCTGTCACTTCCACATTCATGGTGGGATTTGCTTGCTATTTATTTTGTTCTATGTCAGTGACAGTCAGCTCTCGAAGGCGGGATCCTCTCTGGTTTACCTTGCCACGGTCCCCCCAGCTCCCAGCAACTATTTGGCACACAGCAGGTGCTCAGCAACAAATATTTGTTGACTGACTGAAGAAACGACAGCTCTCACTCCCCAAGAGCTTGCTGTGTGCCAGACGCCATGTCCCTGGCTCATATTCAATTTTTCTAACTACTCAGTGGGTGAGGAACAACCTTATCATTTGGGTCCCTATTTTATAGGTGACCAAGCGGGAACTTCTCCAGACGGGCTCCTGTGCCCCTCTGAGCAGAGCTGGGGACAGGGTCCCCAGGACACTGGAAGCCTCACAGGACTCTGAGGAACTGCAGGACTTCTGGGGCTGGAGTTTCCCAGACACACAGAACAGGTTTCCTTATTAGAGTTTCCATAGACAAGTAAAAAAGGTCGGGCAAGCCCCCAGGACCGGGTCACTGTCGCTCACTGTCCTTCTCAAGTGGAAAACTCAGGCACAAACTCAGGAATGGTCTATTGGATTTCTGTCCTCTCTGTCACTCCCAGGTTACAATGACTTGTCAGTGGCCAAGGGAGAAAAGTGTGGCAGCCACTGTGGTTGGAGCGTGGTGGGGGATGAGGTCAGGGGTCATGATGGGCCTAGAAGGGAGGTGTCAGTGTCCTCAAGGGCCACCTCGCAAGGGCCACCTCGCACTGGGCCATCTGAGACTTGTGCCACCAGGCTGTAAGAGGGGAGGGAGGAGGAGAGCTCTGGCCGGATGGTGTGGGGTGAGGGTCAGACGGGCCCTGAATCTCCCAGTGCCTCAGTGTCCTCACCTCAATGTGGAGATCACATCAGCCCCCAGGAGGCCTTTGTTGCGAGGACCCAGACAGATGGTGTCAGGGGACTTCAGGGCCTGGACGAGATCCAAAGCCACATGGCTGCTGGGCTGGGGGCCCATGGGCTGTGAGCCAGGCCTTGACCCAGGAAGAGGGTTTGGCTCCATGCAGGCTAGATTGGCCTCAGCCCCTACCTCTGGCCTGCACAGGATAGGGAGGAGCCTGAGGGCTGCTCTGTCCCCAGGCTTGGTGGCTGAACCACAGGCCCGAGCCAGAGCCCCTGTCCCTTTGCTGCCTGGAGTCCTACAGGTAAGAGGTTTCCTGCCACCAGAAGTGAGTCCCATGGAGCCAAGAGAAAACCCCAGAGTCAGAGAGCAGAGCCCGGGGAGGAGCAGTGAGCAGCTTCCAGAACGATCAGAAAACAGTCCAGGTGAGCTCTTCCTGCTGCTGCCATGGAAGTGTTGTCACGATGAACCTGGCTGAGAGTGACCCAGATGGTACCTGGCAAAACTGAGCGTCAGCAATAGAACGGGCTGTTTTGAGGCTCTGGTGGGGAATCCACCCGCCTTTCCCAGCTCTCCCGCATTCTTTGGCTCGTGGCCGCCTTGTTCCAACCTCTAAATCCAACCTCCTCCCTCACTTCCTGGGGACCCCAAGAGTGCATGGGGCCCAGCTGGAGGGTCCAAGACCATTGCCCCCTCCCAGGATCCCCACCCCAACCATGGTGGCAGAGCCTTGGGCCAAGGGAGTCACCTGCTTGTGGGCTCCGGGGATCAGGACCCTGGCATCTTTGGGGGGCCTTTTCAGTGACTTACAGGACGTTGGAGAAAACAACAGCTCGGGGACTTTAAAGTGCACACCAAAACCCAAAACCACACCTCCAATAAAAAACAAAGGCCATCATTTTATTGAGTGGTAATTTTTTTTTTTTTTTGATACAGGGTCTCATTATTATAGCCCAGGCTGGCCTCTAGCTCTGTTGTGCAGGCTGGCTTCCAACTTTCAGTCCTCCTGCCTCAGCCTCCCAGCTGCTGGTATTACAGGCATGCACCATCATGCCCGACTTGAGTGGTAATTTTTAAGAATTACCCATTGGTGATTTTAAGAGAAGAGATGAGGAGAGAGAAAATATAAGTAATATTTATTGACGTAAGAAGGATTTTGACCCCACATTCAAAGGGCGTTAAGTACCTTTCTTTTGAATTCTACTGTATGCAGGGTCTGGTATCAGGAGTAAGAAGGTGGTAAGGTTTGAACGTGCCCCCTGAAAAGTGCGAGTGTGGGAAATTAATCCCCAAATTCATGTGTTGAGATGTTTGGAGGAAGGGTCTTTGGGAGACAATTCGTGTTAGAATGAGGTCACCAGGGTGGGGCTCCCATCATGATATTAGTGGCTCTATGAGAAGAGAAAGGGAGACCTCAGCTGGTCTCCCCAGATGCCCTCTGCCATGTGGTTACACAGCAAGAAGTCCTCCCTAGTGCCCCAGAATCATTAGACACACATTTCCTAGCCTTATAAATTACCCAGTCTGTGGTATTGTGTCACAGCAACAAAAACTGGACCAAGTCAAGGGTGATACACACAGACTAACCTTAAATTTGAGAAATGGGGGAATTTATTTCACCTGTAATATGATACAATAATCTTTGATTTTGAAAATGAAGTAGTGTGTTAATTTCATTATTTATTTATTTTTGGTGGTACTAGGGTTTGAACTCAGGGCCTCAAATTTGCTAGGCAGGCATTTTACTACTTGAGCCACTCCACCAGCCCTTAATTTCATTATTTAAAAAAACCCAAGTATTTGGTTTACCCCATAAAACAAAAGTAAAAAATGGAAAAGAAAGGAAGGAGAGAAACAAAGGAAAGAAGGAGGGGAGGGAGGAAGAGAGGGAGGAAGGACAGAAGAGAGCCAGGTGTGGTGGTATACACCTGTAATCCCAGCTACTGGGGGCATAGGTAGGAGGGTGGTAGTCCAACGTTGGCCTGGGCAAAAACTCAAGACCCTATGTGAAAAATAAATGCACAAAGACTGCTGATGGTAGAGTGCCTAGTGTGCGAGGTCCTGAGTTCAAACTCCAGTACAGCCAAAGGAAAGACCAAAAGCCAACCCCGAGGGAGACTCAAGCGGGACCCCAAGCTGACGTCTTGGAGCTTTCTGTCACACTAGGAAATGGAGAAGCTGGATCGCAGGCCAGGTCGTCCTTTTACCGCCCACAGGTGGTCCAGGCAGCTGTGCCTCACGGCAAAATGTCAAAAACAGCTAAATGAGCACTGCAGAACCAGAAGCTGGAAGTAAGCATGTCACAGTGAAAGCATAAGGGTTCCAGATCAAAAAGATTCCCACGCTCCAAGCCGGGAAAAGTGAGGGCCACGCACCAGGACCAAACCTCACGCAGGAGCTGTGGAGGAGGAAACCAGATTGGCCTGCCGCTTCTTGGCAACACGAGGCAGGGACAGAGGCCTTCCACCCATGGTCCCCAAGTCAGCTGAGGGGCCCGTCACCTGCTAGCCTGGGACGGGAGGAATACTGCCTAGCATGCTAGTGCAGGCCTCGACACCAGCCAGCCAAGCTCTGACTCCAGCCAGCTGTGTGACTTTGGGCAGCTTTCCTGCCCCTCTGGGCTGTTCTCTTTCTTAAGACGAGCACGATGACAGCGCCTGTAATCCTAGCTACTCAGGAGGCAGAGAGCAGGAGGATCAGGTTGGAAGCCAGCCCAGGCAAATAGTTCGGGAGACCCTATCTCAAAAAACCCTTCACAAAAAAAGGGCTGGTGGAGTGGCTCAAGGCAAAGGCAACAAGTTCAAACCCCGGTATCGCACAAACACACATAGAAGTAACTGAGGTTATTTTGGGGTGTTGTCCTGGAAACTTTCAGTTGGGGTCAAAAACTTCCACTTTTTCCCAGGCCTGGAAAATGTGGTCTTTTCAGGGAAGGGGACCCAAGAAATAGGGACAGTCCTCTTCCCACTGGCCATTGGGGCCCCATGGGGCACCACGGAGGTCTCGGGGTCACTGTCTCCATGTGAACCTGCACCTGTCACCCTTGCCTGGGTGCCCTGTGCTTCTAGTGAATGGCGGAGGTCGGGAAGTGGGGGCTGTGAAAAGGAGGGGACAGAGAAGTGGCCTCTGGATTCCTCTAAACCTCTGAGCCCTGCCTCGAGAGTGGGGCTACTGTCAGGTTTTTAAAAACTGTTTTTTTAAACTGTACACTTACTGTGACATTTCCATATATAATGGACTTCGATCACATTCACCCCTGAAGTAAACATTCACATTTTAGCTTCAGAGTGACATGTGACCTGTCACGCAAAAGGAACTGGAGCTGTTAGAAGCCAGGAGAGGACTGTAGTGACCATAGGCAACGACCAGGGCTGGGTTTTCCAGATCAGCAAAATAAATAAATAACTATATAAATTTTTGAAGCAGAATTTGAGATAAACAATGAGTAGCTGGGGGCGAGGCGTTTAGAATCCGTGCCCTTCTGTGTGTGCAGGCAACAGGCCTGTTAAAAGTCAAGTCCACACTGAGTGAGTGAAAACACGGGTTACAACTCAGTTCTGAACATCACAGAAATGCAGTGACAGGGGCTCCGGGTGGCCGAGGTGGGAGACGCCCTCCAGGCTGTGCCCCAGGCTCC